AGGTAAGCCATAATGCTCTCTGCTCCAAAGACATTAAAAGTCAAATTGGTAGAAGTGGGTTTTATGAAAAGCCAGATTTAAGTGAAGACGGAAACAACTTCATTCTTTCAAAGGTTCCGTCTCCAGAAGCTCTGGGAAGAAGAAAACTTTTGGGGAGAGGAGGTGGGGGCTATAGTATGCATTAGGACTAAAAGCTAAAATTTCACCAGTTGCAAACAGGTTTTCACTTCCAGGAATTTTCACAGGTTTTAACTCCTAGCCCTGGGGACCTTACCATAACAAAGGAGTGAGACTTGGTGGATTCAGCATCTGCTTCTTCCAGTTTCAGCTGGGGGAGGGTTCTTGGAAAGTCTGGTCTGTAAAAAACCTGTAAGACCCTCATTTACCTCTCTAAAATGACCCATTCAGTCTGTTCTGAATATCTATTCTCTATCTGTCTAATAAATTCCTATCTACTAGTGAGTGCAACTCTTTTGAAAGTCTTCCTGTGAGATTGCAAGAACAGGCAGCTGAAACCCACTACCATAGTTGTTTTGGCTCCACAGGCTGGTCTCACTCCATAACAATGGTATCAGAATATAATTTATAATGCACTGCTTAAATAAAATGTATTATTATCAAGATCACATTATTGACTTTCTACCAGTTAAAAAAAAGCAAAATTACATTGCTTGTGTTTTAACCTTTTATTAATGTAGTAGCCTACTTTATGAMATTTGAATTTAAACCTAACATGGTAATGCAGGTTTGTAATCCCAATGACTTGGGAGGCTGAGGCAGGAGGATCCTTTGAGGCCAGCAAGGCAACTTATTGAGACCCTATCTCAAAATAAAATCAAAATGGCTAGGAGGTGGCTCAGTGGTAGAGTGCTTGCCTTAGTTTGTGTGAAGTCCTTGGTTCAATACCCAGTCCTATTTGAGGAAAAAAGGTAAATGTATTTATGGAACTACATCATGATTTATTTGTATTGCAACAGATTCCTTAAGTTTTTCAGATGTTTTCTAAAGTGTTTCTACAAATAAGAATTTTATATTTATAAAATGTACTACTTAGTAGAAAGTCATTAAATACTTGCTTAATAAATGTAGGAAAGCTAGGTTTTTGTATATATGATCTTTTAAAAAGATATTATTTTTGTTCTTTTTAGTTATATATAACAATAGAATATAATTTGACTTATTTATACAAACATGAGTACATTTTATTCCAATTTGGATCCCAGTCTTGTGGTTGCATATATGACCTTAATTTATCTTTACCAAACCATGTAAGGTAAAGAAATGAAGGCTCAGAGGTTAAATCACTTGTTAACATCATATTAATAAGTTAAAGGCAGAAAGAATTTAAACCATGCATTTTGATGAAAAAACTTGATGTTCTTTCTATCTAGAAATCATTCAGAGAGTATAATACAGATTTCAAATTATAATGGTGTTTAATGAAAAATATTTTGTGAATGGACATTCACATTAGATTTAATTATAAATGATGTTTTCTACTCTTTATTAGTGCCTTGTATTGAGATAGAGGATATTTTATAAGTGCTTCTTTTATAAGTTTATCTTTCTCTCTATAGCAGTCTAGCATAGAGTTTCTTTATTTCTTATGAAAATTTATTTGTTTCATGTTACCCACTGTGTACATGTTTGTCTTCCTCAGTAGTTGATAATTTTCTCATGTGTTATTTTATCATTGGCTCCTTTACACCTTTACATTGTAGATGTGATTCAGATAAATACATATGCACCATGCATATGTATATATATTCATAGACCAAGAGTGGAATTTTTTTTTTTTTTAAAGAGAGAGTGAGAGAGGCGGGGGAGAGAGAGAGAGAGAGAGAATTTTTAATATTTATTTTTTAGTTCTCGGCGGACACAACATCTTTGTTGGTATGTGGTGCTGAGGATCGAACCCGGGCCGCACGCGTGCCAGGCGAGCGCGCTACCTCTGAGCCACATCTCCAGCCCAAGAGTGGAATTTTTTTAATGTTTATTTTTTAGTTCTAGGTGGACACAATATCTTCACTTAGTTTTTATGTGGAGCTGAGAATCGAACCCAGTGCCTCACGTATGCTAGGCGAGAGCGCTATCACTTGAGCCACATCCCCAGCCCCAAGAGTGGAATTTGTTAGGTCTTATTTCAATCAAGTTTTAACTTAGGTAGGGGCTGGAAAAGCAAGAGCTTAAAGGTAGAACAAACCCTCATACCTATCTCTTCCTGTACTACTGTCATCCAAATGGACCTTGTAAAGCATAAAGAGATTTATTGCTATACAGGTCTCAATTCTCTCTCCTCCTCCTTCTTATATACCACGCTAATCTTGCAAAGAACATCATGTATATTGTAAAACAGTAACTGATAACTATCCTGTGATAAGTGCAATAATCTTTGGTTATAGAAAATCTATAGGTATAAGTAAATGGGAAGAAATTCTTTAAAATTTTAGCATAGATCACTTGCAGAAAATTAAAATGTAAAGGAAACACTTGTTTTCATGACTTTTTTTGGTCCTATGTTCTTAGAAAGAGAATTTACAACCTTTTAAACTACAAAATGGTTACATGATAATTATGTTCTAAGAGATTAAAATATACTAACTTTTCTGCCAAAAATTTAAATTGTATATATATATAAAAAAGTATTTTTTAAGAATTTTGCTATAACATTCCTTCTAAAAGGTAATCATTGAGCTGGGTTGTGGCTCAGCAGTAGAGTACTCGCCTAGCACACGTGAGGCCCTGGGTTCAATCTTCAGCACCACATAAAAATTAAAAAAAATAAAGGCATTGTGTCCAACTACAATTTAAAAAAATAAATATTTTTAAAAGGTAAATTCAAGTACTTAGTGTAATTTTCTATGTTTTATTAATTGAGTAATACTAATTACATACTTTCTCTTTGAGAAATAATGCCTTTGGTATGAAAATGGCAGCCTTAAAGAGTTAACTTAATTTTCTAAACTGATAAAGTAAGAATATTAAATAAGGTAAAGAAATTTATACAGAAATTGCTTTACTATTAGTACTGCTGCTTTAAAATATTTAATAAATCACTTTATGTGACATTTCTTTTGTATTTTCATTTGTGAAATTCTATCACAAATCTGATTTGAATGCAAGGGGTCCAGTGTGATGCTGGCAACACTGCTGATTTTAATTTCAAAGCAATCATTTTCTTTTTCTTTTTCTTTTTAATTAATTATTTATTCTAATTAGGTATATATGACAGCAGAATGCATTTTGATTCATTTTACACAATTGCAACACAGCTTTTTATTTCTCTGGTTATCCACAATGTAGCATCACACCATATGTGCAGTCATACATGTACCTAAGGTAATGATGTCCAACTCATTGAACCATCTTTCCTTCAAAACAGTCATTTTCAATATAGATTTTTACCAGAGGTTAAAAAAATTCAACTTCATTTCTGTTAAATATTTTAGTAATTTTAATTTAGTTTATTTTTATACATTATTTTAATTATATTAATGTAATTTACATGACTATTGTTTTCAAGGAGATTCTAATAGCTAATTTTTTTTTATTTATAGATATGTTTTATGGGYTAATTTTCCTCAGAAAATAGTTATTTTTCTAAGCTATTTACTTTTTCTAATACTAATGTGCTTAAGACACTCTAAAGCAAATCCCACAGGACACTGAACCACCATTTCCACCACCTGAATATCTTTTTATTGTATAGTATTGGGGATTGAATCAGGTGCCTGTGCATGCATGCTGTGCAAGTACTCTACAATCGAGCTACACCACAAGCCCCCAGTATCTTACATCTTTGCTTCAAAGATGTTTTCTTGCCAAGTGCAGTGGTGCATGCCTGTAATACCAGCACCTCAGGAGGCTGAGGCAGGAGGATTCAAGTTCAAAGCCAGCCTTAGCAACTTAGCTAGGCCCTAAACAACTCAGTGGGACCCTGTATCTAAATAAAATAGAAAAAAGGGCTGGGGATGTGGCTCAGTGGTTGAGTGCCCCTGAGTTCAATCCCCAGTACAAAAAAAAAAAAAAAAGATTTTTTTTTGCTCAAGAAATCGTTTATTCAGAAATCCGAAATTGTTTTGTGAATACATACTAAGGGCAAGGCTAAGTAATGTTTTGAAAGACCATAAATGACAGTGTTTCTACCCTAAGGAATTTATCAAAAATGTAAACTTACCTCTTTAGACGTTTAAGGCATACAGGCATATACTATATATACTAAAAGTACTATGACATATGATATAAGGAAATAAAGAAGCCCAAAGAACAGAGGCAAAGTATGCTTTGGCAGGGGATGGGGGGGCAGGTGGAGGTTGACACAAACATGGAAAGCTTCTTGGGTTAGATATGAACAGTATTTCATCCATCTGAAATTTAGAAAAGGAGAATATTTTACACAGACCAAATAGTTATACAAGTGTGTGAGCAGTAATATGACAGGCATAAGCCTTGGCTTACAGTCCAGTTCAACTGGAAAGGTATGTTAGTGCCTAATTATGAAGCAATTTAAATATTAAACTGAAATGTAGAGTTTATAAATTTGAGAGTTCTCCATGAAACTAATAAAATAAGAAAATCTAAGTTGAAATTGGCATTGGTATGTGGCATATATTGAGAGTTGGTTGAGAAGAAATAATGGCATGGCTTAAATTTGAGCAAATTTTAATGAAAGAATCCAAAGCCATAGTAATATGGCCAATTTGGAAAAAAAGAAAAGATAATTTTAGGGTTTCAGGTTTGGATTATCGTAAGAATGAGAGCAATAGGAAAAGAGGAGGTGTCAGTGGCATATATATTTCAAGGGGGAAGACCAAGTTTTAATAAATGTATTAGGTCTAATCAGAGTTCAGCAGCCAACCTAGTTACCACTGCCACTCCTTTTACAGCATGTATATATATCATTATTTAAATCTGCATATGAGCAGTTGTTTTCAGATCTTGAAAACAAAAGCAGTCTTTATTTTTATGGTATATCTTAATTTATTTTTTAATTTCAACAGGAACARCATAAACAGACATTCCCATCACAGTTAAAGAAACAAGAGTCATCTAAGAGCCTGAAGAAGGTTATTGCAGCTTTGTCAAATCCAAAAGCAACCTCTAGCTCACCAGCATATCCAAAACAAACATTAGAAAACAACCACCCTAATCCATTCTTGACAAATGCACTTTTAGGTAATCACCAACCAAATGGAGTTATTCAAAGTGTCATTCAAGAAGCTCCTCTAGCACTTACTACCAAAACTAAAATACAGTGTAAGATGAATGAAAATATTGCTACTGCAAGTAGCAGCACGCCCTTTTCCTCACCTGTAAATTTGAGTACAAGTGGGAGAAGAACCCCAGGCAATCAGACACCTGTAATTCCCTCCGCCTCTTCTATATTGCATAATCAAGGGAAGGAAAAAACAGTTAGCAATAATGTAAACACATTAAAACCACAGCCTCTCTCTCATCCTGCAAAATCTTTGGTGGAACAATTCAGAGGAACAGATTCAGACATTCCCAGTAGTAAAGATTCTGAAGATTCAAATGAGGATGAAGAGGAAGATGATGAGGAAGAAGATGAGGAGGATGATGAAGATGATGACTCTGATGACAGTCAATCAGGTTATTTTCCGTTTTAAATTTTAAAGTAGTTCTCTAATTCTATGTGAACTAAAACATTTTAAAGATCTTAATTCAACGACTTGACATCATTCTCATTCATTTTGTTTCATATAGCTCTGTGCGTTTCTATAATGAGCTGGTAAAATACAATTGTAATTGATATTGGAAATTTTAATTTAAATTCTCATCTTGTTCATCTGACATTAACAAATAATAATTTTAAAGTGAATATAAATGATGCATGAATTAAACAATTTCATCAGCTTGCTTAATTTTCATTTCACTCAGGACCACATGTCTCTTTTTCCATCTCTTCTGCTACTTGTTAAAATATGTCACTACATATTTTGAACAAAGGTGTAATTTAGTTACAATCATTCAGAAAGTAAAAAAAAAAATCCAAATCTCTATGAGTGTCCATCAATAGCATAGAATTCATTACATAACATAAGGGATTATGGAGTGACTCCTTAGTTTAATTTTGATTCATTTTCTAGTTTGTTTTTTTGAGGGGATGGAGATTAGTTTATAAAAAAATAAAATAAAAAGTAAAATTTTAAATTCAGTGAAATGCATATTACATAATCTGTGGATTTGTTGCTGGTAATACAGTTATTTAACTATAAATTCTGTAGCAGCCAATAAGAATAGAAAAATATAGTCCATTATACAATTTAAACTAATAAGTTAAAAACAAACTAATTCTCAGAGTAAGAATAATCCTTCCTTGTAATACATGGATATAATAATGCACGATAGGTAGTGAATATCAATATTCATCACTTTTAGAAATTAACTTTTATAATGAACCTCAATTTAGGCAGATAGTATTACACCACATAGAATTCCCCAGTCCTAAGGCTGGGGTTGTGGCTTAGCGGTAGAGCACTAGTCTAGCACGCACAGGGCCCTGGTCCTCAGCACCACATAGAAATAAATAAATAAAACAAAAGTATTGTGTCTGACTACGACTAAAAAAATTTWAAAAAAAATTCCTCAGTCCTGTTGTTCTCAAAATCTTTATGGTACAGTCCAAGTATACATCCTATATTTATCAAAGTTAATCCAATAATAGATTTTATATATCTGAAAGAATAGAGGCATTATACATAGGATTGCATAACTAGGAAGACTTAAATTATAGAACAACAACTATCCTATACTGCCAAAAAGGCAAAAGCAACCAAGAATCTCCCCTAGAAAACTGTTTTCTTTTACTCCAAATCCCAAATTAAGGATGATAGTGGTTCTAGACTTATCTTCCTTACATAGACTTGGTACGCTTCTTAAGCCATTGGARTCTCTTACTTTGGAAAGTCAATTATATTTCCTCTTTCTCCTTAGTTTCCCATTTTATTTAAAAGTGATTTGAAGCCATCATGGCCATTAAGAATTAAGCCATTAAACAGAACTCATCATGTGAGTAGTGTCATGTAAGAAGAATTATTTCAAGTCTTGAGTAGAACTGATAATTTTAGAAGAATCTTGAGGCTTTATATGCCTACCATACATTGTTCTCTAATAGCTTATAAGATAATAATTTTTACATTTATTCTTTGGGAAAATCGATTATTTGGATTCTCAATCACAGATACTGGTTCCTCTGAACTATTCTGTTTGGATACAAAGTACAAATTATTGGTCATTATCTAGTTATAATATCCAAGTGCTTCTTTCACTTCCCAGAATCAGATAGTAATTCAGAATCAGATTCAGAAGGATCAGAAGAAGAAGATGATGATGATAAAGACCAAGATGAATCAGATAGCGATACTGAAGGAGAGAAAACTTCACTGAAACTGAATAAAACAACTTCCTCTGTCAAAAGCCCTTCCATCAGTCTCACAGCTCACTCAACACCTCGTAACCTCCACATAGGAAAAGCCCCAGGCTCTCCTCCTGCTGCCTTATGTTCTGAATCCCAGTCACCTGCTTTTCTTGGCACATCTTCTTCCACACTTACTTCAAGTCCACACTCTGGTACCTACAGTTTATTTTTATTATTGTAAAGTAGAAGTCAAACCATAGCAAGAATTTATATTTACACTGTGGTCTGGAGATTATCTCATTGGAATCAAATGTTATGGCTAGACTTTATTTAGGTTGACTAAGAAAGTCAGCATGTATTTTCAAAGGATATTACCTGATCTATGTTAAATTTTTCCATATTTTCAATTTAAGAATCTGATTAATGACAGTTCTTGATTGAATCCTTTTCTGTTTTTGTGATCAAATGATAATTGGATTTTTTATACTTTATAAAAAATATCACCTGGACAATTCTGTTTCTGCCAACATGTAGCCAGTGTCACTTCTATTAGTAACATTCTTATTCCATTAACATCCTTTTGTTGTTTGTACTTTATTTTTTTTACTTTTTATAAACTTCTAGAGGTCTTTTTTTTAAAGTCTCCACATTTAACATTCCCAAACCACTGTCTATTCTAATTCAATAACTAAGAAAATATAGATTTACTGAGTAAAATATTTTGTTTTCTTTTAACTCATTTCACTCTCTTCTTCACAGTTTCTGGTTTTACTTTCATTTATCAGAAACCATTTTGATATCCCACTAATTTAAGATTAATTTATTTATATTTGTGAATCTTCATCTTTGTCTTTGAAAAAATTTACATATAATCATAATTCTATTTGTTTGGTGACATAGGTTAATTAAAATGCCTAGTTGTGTTTTTGGTCATGGGTAAATATGGACATAAAAGGTAATTTGTCTTAAAATGTATGACCCAGTTAGTTAAAATTTTTAGCATCAGAAAAGTCATATTTTCAAAGAAAACAACTATAAATAGGTTTTCTGAAGCCTCTGTTATATCCCACCTACTTCTTCAGCCATTCCCTTAATAACAGATGGGAAGAAAGCTATGTTTTTTTTTACCTTGGACTATATTTTCTTCAGAGAGTAAGACTAGTGATTCTCTCATTTAGATAAAAAAATTTTCTGCCTTATATAATGTGTTTTGTTGAAAACCATTAAAAAACAATGTATAAATTTCAAAAATACACTAATAATCCAAGTCATTAAAAATGTTTTTAAAGAAAATTTTCTAAACTGTCATAAAGTTGTCATCAATATAAATTAGTCTTTTATATTAACTAGTTGAATTTTCTTAAAGGCAATTCTAAAAGAAGAAGAGTTACAGATGAACGCGAACTGCGAATTCCTTTGGAATATGGGTATGCAAATAAGGTTTTTCTTTTTGTTTTCCTCCATATATTTATGCATGTTTGATGTATGTATTTTCATTCTCTACTATTACCAAAAAAAGTTAACATACTGCATAGTATTATAGTAGAAGAGCCAGAGCAAAGGGCAAACAAATCAATATATCAGAAAACTAAAATTAAACCTATACTGTGTCAAAGTATGGTAGAGTTGGGGTGGGATCATGCAGTCTGAAAAAGAACCAAGAACAAGTCATAAGGTAGAGAACAGGAATATAGTTAAGATTGTTAGATTTTGTGAAGATAGAATTAAAGAACAGTGAAAGCTTCTATATTTAAAATGAGGGACTCCAGCAGAGTTTGGCTAAAATGGTTTAATTAGAAATGGCAAGTTTCAGATTGGATGTACTTGATCTCAAAATGACAGAAAGCTATATTTACTTTACTCTTCTCACTTTAAGCTTTTCAGATGTAAATATATACTCTGTATATTCTCACACATGTAACTAAAATGTCTAAGTGCTCAAACTAATTCCAGTTATGATTTCTAAAAAATGTAATAGAGTTTAGTGTTTGTAAATTGAATCTTTGATTAATTTTTTAATTGAATCTACATAGTTTCAGTAGTAAATTATTTGAGTTTTATGGTTAGAGATTTATTTTTGTTTTCTTTATATTTTTCATGATTTGAAGAAGATGTATACTTTATATCTTTTTTTTTTTTTTTTTTAGTTTTTGAAAGCTATGTTAAAAGTAAAGTATGTCATAACCCTCCTTTCTGTTATATGTAGCTGGCAGAGAGAGACAAGAATAAGAAACTTTGGAGGGCGCCTTCAAGGAGAAGTAGCATATTATGCTCCATGTGGAAAGAAACTTAGGCAGTACCCTGAAGTAATAAAGGTACATATTTTTCACCAAATAATGTATATTTGGTGCATATTAAGCATGCTCATGCAAAGAAAAAGTGCATTCCTTTCTCACATAAACTTTTTGATACAAAATATTCTCTTGTGTGGGTCTAAAATGCTTAACCTAAGTTGATCTACAAATCCAAAGCCCCTTTGATAGTATATACAAAACATTAGTGTCCTGAAGCTAGCTATACATCAAAGCTGGGTTGTAATTATTAAAACCTGAAGTGGAAAAATATGTGATTTTTTCAGTATCTCAGCAGAAATGGAATAATGGATATCTCAAGGGACAATTTCAGCTTCAGTGCAAAAATAAGAGTGGGTGACTTCTATGAAGCCAGAGATGGACCGCAGGTATCCACTTTTTAAAAAGTATAGTCTTTGAACCAAAAAGTAGTAACCATAACCTCAATGAAGTAAATTTCACTACTGAAATTAGTCACAAAGCATTGCCTTTTGTTAGTTAATCAATATAGCTATACATAAAACTTTGTGGTAAACACTAAGGCTTCAATTTACTCTGTTTCAGTAGCAAGGAGCTTTGACATAACAGACTTCTTTTTCATATTTAAGTAAACTTTTTCCTGTTTATTAATTCAGTCAATAATTTTATAGTTTATACTGGCATAAAAGTATCTGCATGTTAATGTAAAATATAGGGAGAAATATACTACTTCCTAAAAGGTCAAAAAAWTTTTTTTAACTAATTCAAATAGGAAAATCACATTATTGTAAATTAGTCCAAGAGAGGATAAATATGCTTTAGTTTTTTGAAAGGAAAGAAATTAAATTTCCACTTGATTAAGTCACACCATATGATGTACTTTCACAAGTTTTGTAATTTGAAAGTAAGGATCCTTAAAATTAGGGAAGTGAAATTTTTATGTTTCTGCAGAAACTGAATTTTAAATTAATTACACACATTTCCAAACATATCATCACAGTTTCCTTTGAGCTTGAAGTATACAACCTATCAGTCACCAAAAAGAACCTTCTAAGAAGACCTCATTTCCTGTGTGTTTCCTTTAATGTTTTCCCTTTATTCCTTACTTGTGCTTTGTATGTTTATTATTTCCTTTGACATTATCGTCTCCATTGAAAGGAGTCCCCTTTTAAGGAGGGATGAGAACTAGATTCTTGTTAATCCATGAAATAGTTTTGTGATTCTGAACAACAGTAATAAAATAATACCCTCTTCTCCTTTAATTTATTTATATGCCAAATAGAATAATAATTACACTTGCCTCCTAGAATTATGGCAATGTTAAAATTAGATCATATGCATGAAAATGTTTCAAAAAGGTTAAAATGGTCAGCCAACTGAAGGTGATATTTGTTTCTTTAATTATATATATACATACACATACACACGCATATATATTCTTTTAGTTGTAGATGAACACAACATCTTTTTTCATTTTTATGTGGTGCTGAGGATCAAAACCGGTGCCTCTCACGTGCGAGGCAGGTGCTCTACCACTGAGTTATAGCCCCAACCCAGTATTTGCTTTCTTGATTGAACCTTTCTTTCAACACATTATAATCTACAGAAAGAAATTTTTTTCTGGCATTGAGTATTTTCTTTGTGAATAGGAAGACTTTTCAATCCTCTCTTACCCAGTGATTTTATAGAGAGAGAAACAGAAAAGACTTTCCCATTCTGTAATTTTAAAAGATTTAGGGATTTTCTAAGGATACATGGTCTTAAAAAGAACTCAAGTTTCTAAAAAATATGCTTTCATATACATCATGTAACCTATTTTCTGCCATTGTTGTCCATGACTTTTTAAGGAACAAATTGTATGCAGATCTATTTGACTCTTTATTGGTAGTTCTAATATACCAAAATGTATTTACCTCAGGTTTAACTTTTTTATAAAAATATATTGTGATTTTTTTCATTTTTCTTTTTACTTGTTAACACACAACAACAATAACAACAATTTAGACTAAATCTGCCACCAACCACCAAATAGCACCAACCACAGTGCTATTTTACTCATCCATATGTATAGGATCAGGTTTTTAGTCARAAAACATAAGGTAATAATTTTTTTAATTCTTATTTTTAATCTTTGGTTCATATTATAAGCTCCTCACTTATTTATGCCAAAGATATTTTATGTTTTTAAATTCACTAGATTTTTGCTCTGAGAGTAAAGCTAATTGCTATTCAATATATAAARGATTTTTAGTTTTGTATCAGTGATAATTAGACTTAATCTATAAAGCCTTATTACACAAAGCAGAATGTTCTTTGACATTCATTCACTTTTTATTAAACATAATCAGTGTTGTTCAAATGCATATTGTCTGTTAAAATCAATTCCAATCAACAAAATATGATGAATTACTAAAATCATAATATGTTCAGCTGCCAACATTTCCACAGAGTACTAGGGGGAAATATTAGCAATTTTGAAAGCACTTCTCTTAGTTAAAAAAAAATGGGTGAGTTGGATTCATTTCAGGATACTTTTAGAGAACAGGTAAGTAATCTAAATAGGTGTTTTAGAAAATTAATTAGAGAAGTGTATATTTGTAGAGCCATATGCACTTCTTTCATTTGTATATATAAGCATATGATTAATTAGAAATGTATATAATTATGTAAAAATTGGTTACATATTTTTGTTTGAGTAATCATAATATGACATTATTTTGATCAGTTTAAATTTGCACAATATCTACAATATAGTTTGGCACAAATGAAATACTACCATGCAGTGATAATTATGTGTATTTATAATGTATCTAACTTTATACACATTTTATTAGTGATTTAATGGCTAAAAATGTATCAAAAAGCAAAATTGTACATACCAAAAGATCAAAAGGAAATGTGTCAAAACTTTAAAAATGCGTGTAATATTTGACAGTAGAGTGGATTTTTTGTTTTGCTTTTTATRTTCTTTTGTATTTTTGTTTTCTGAAATTTTCTTGTATTAAGTATTTAATGTAAAAAACAATATCTTTTAAAAATAATACTGCTCCAGTTTGTAATTCGAATAAATCTTAGAATTTGTTGTTGGAAATTGTAAATAATGATCGAAAATGTTCCAGGCTTTATATATCCATTGAGTGATAGAAATGATGTTTTATTTACATATTCATTAGTACTCTTGTTTGTTGGTTTTCACCATCCTGGGACTATAGAACCTAGGGCCTGGTACATGCTTGGCAGGCGCTCTACCACTGAGCTACATCTCTACCCTTATAAAAATATTATTTTTAAGAAGGTCTTCCTGAGTTGCCAGTGCTGACTTTGAACTTGTGATCAATCTGCTTCAGCCTGCCATGCTCCGCTGTCAACAGCTTACTTTATTTATAGCATTTTATTTTTTTTTTACTTTTATTTTTTTAAATATTTATTTTTTAGGTGTAGATGGACACAACACAATGCCTTTATTTGTATGTGGTGCTGAGGATGGAACCCAGGTCCCGCCCATGCTAGGCGAGTGTTCTACCGCTGAGCCACAATCCTAGCCCTATTAGCATTTTAAATCAGTCTCCAAATAAAATATTTTACTTGTAAATATGTTTTCACCATCATGTTTTTCTTTCTTCTCTTAAAATATACCAATAAAAATTATTAGTTCTGCAGGTTCTAGTTTTACTTGAAGCTTTTCAAAAATTGCATCAGTGGTCTTTCAAAGCTTTATATTTTATAGATGAAAACTACGGAGATAATTTCTCCTAGAAGGTAAATACCTGCAATGATTATTTTGTATAAATTAATCATTTTTTATTTAATGTTTCTGATATTAAGATAATAATTAAATACGAATTTTTAGCAACAAACATTTGTTGAAAATAGTGACTAAGGGCTGGGGTTTGTAGCTCAGTTGTTGAGCGCTTGCCTTGCATGCATAAGGCACTGGGTTCAATCCTCAGCACTACATAAGAAAATAAATAAAACAAGATATAGAAAAAAAGAAAGAAATAGTGATATGTATGATAACTCATATTTATTGACATTTAAGTGAATTCATTCTTACCCAAAGAACAACAATCTAATGATTATCTCTAAAAAGAAAAAAGAAGCCCTTAATTTGAAGTGAATTGAGTAATAAAGATATGGGGGTAAAAAGCCTTGAATCTATTCATTATCAGTTTTATTTATTTCAGTCCACAAAGTATGGTCAGAGATTTGTAGAATCAGCCACCTCTCAGCATCTACTGATAGATATCAAACACTTCTTAATACCTTAACTTTAGGGGTGATAAACATCATGAAACAAATAGTAATGTTGTCTGTAAGTCTGTGCTATACTGGCTAACTACCTTCTAATGAAGTTCTGTGGGCTGTTTTAGCCTCTTTAGTTTAGAAAAGGGTATAAGGTAAGATAAAGAGGTTTTTTAAAAATTATTTTCTTTATTATTTAGTTACTTTGATTAGGTATCCTGTAATTTCTTTCTTTCTTTTTTTTTTTTTTTTTGTGGTGCTGCGAGGGAAACATCCTACTAACTGAACTATATCCACAGCCCAAGAGGTTTTTTTTTTTTCCTTTTTAACAGATTTCTGTTCTGTTACATTATATAGAACTTGTTGAACCTAATGCTTGTCATTTATTTTATTTTATTTTATTGTCAGAATAATAGAAAGTAAGGTCAAATAGATTTTGGTAAAACATAGCTTTTTTTGTTTAACTAAATATAATGCTAAAATAAAAGTTATTCACATTTTCCTCAGAATATGTGAAAGTTTCAATTATAAGTAACAGAGATTATTTTAAAATATATAATGATCTACTAAAAAACATTTTTGTGAATTATAGAAAAAAACATTTAAGCACAAATATTACATTTATGATCATTTAAAAAAAAACCTGGGAAATTCAGAAGCATTTCAAGTGTTGAATATCTAATACACTCAGTACAAAAATGCAAAGGAAGATACAAAGATGAAACAATTAAAAATAATGCTGAAATCATTGCTTTTTTTTTCTATTTAAGATGTTATATTTGGGGGAAAAAAGCATTCTTCAAATGGTATAATGCCATATGGAAAATAAAGTGTAGTTCTTTCAGAAAAGAGCCTCTTTTCATAGTCATTTAATTAATAAATGTTTATGGCAACTATATTTAACACGGCAGGCATTTTTCCCTCAAATAAATGTTGTCTGAAGGCATTTTTTCCATAAGAGAAATTGTGAACTTATTTTTTTACTGCAGAAAAGTTGAAAGCCAGAAGTTGAAGAAAAATCACTGTTACTGGAGAGACTAAAGAGTACAGAAAAATAGAAGTTATGATCATTGGTTTAGAGCACCCTGTTCTGGAGAATTTATTCTGATGCTGACCAGCTAAAATTAAGATTTTGTTAATTAAATGTAAGAGGAAACTTCACAATAAG